TTTACTGTATGTTACCTTTAAACTGAATGTATCAAAGTGATTTACAAACTTTCTCACATAAACCAAATATTGTGCGTAAACATTCTTCACTTTGCTAGGTCCAGAGATTCACTACAATGCCTCAGTCTGCAGCGTGGGGGCAGAACCGGTCCCGTCAGTCATGTCTCTGCCCTGGATTTTTCCTGTGAAGAGTTCCAAACTTGACGTACCATTTCAGGCCAGCAGTTTGGCACAAAATGTGTCAGCTGTGTCCTAGGGCTGGAATTTGCTGTTAGGAGAGATTGTCCACTCAGTTCTGCTTCACACCATGATGTGTACGCAGTGACCACCGCTCCTGCTTCACTGCTTTCATTGCATGTTTCACCAGGGAGTTTGCCTGGCTTTGGACTGAGTTCATGTATCTCATGCAACCAAGTCTGGTGGTGGTTGCATCACCATCTCCTCCTCTTCCTCAGGTAGGGAGGCAGGTAAAATTGAAGGAAAAAAAAAGGCTCAATGAGCAAGCAGCTCTTCCCTTTTTACAAAGATTTGGTTGCGGGGTGGGGCGCGAGGGGCAACACTGTCAGCAGACAGAAAAAATCAGGGCTAAATCCAAAGAGACTGCACCAGTCAATCAGCTATGCTTCTGAGAACAGATCTCAGCTGTCTCCTCCCCTTGGGCTGTCAATCGACAACACTACCCAACACTGCTAGTACTGCCAGTTCTGTAAAGAGCAGTAAAAGCTTTTGAGCTCAACTCCCTCTCCTTGCTACTGCATCTGTAATGGGCCTCTATGGAACATTATGTCCAAAACAGCAACCTTACAAGTTAAGAAGATTCGCTCAGCCTGAGAAGATTAAAGAAATTGCCCAGAACAAGATTGCTTGGCAAAAACTGACTTCTGCCTTTTGCACCTTTATGGTTTAAGAAATGGATTGGATTGGAGAAATAGTCAACTGAATTTTGTCAGTGTATAAATGTTGAAGCAGAATGCCAGTTCTGTGCAGTATTGTTCTGCTCCTTACTAATACTACCTAGATTTGAAACCTTGCAACAGGTGTGATTTATATTTTATCTTCTGTAGCTACAATCTCTAATCGGATGTTAAAATTGGAAGCCTTTTCTAATAGGAACTTGTATTGTGTGTTTTAGACGGGTAGTCTTCAGAAGTCACCTGGCATTCATTCTCAATACAAAATCAAGAAGTATTTTTCCTTCTGCTAACCAGCAAAGTCTGTTTTTTGGTTTTCTTTGAAACACCAGATCAATTCAGGACAGAAATATTGTGTTTCTTGTACACAAGATTTAATATTAAGATCTTGTACACAGTCACATCACCATCCTGTCTTTTTAACCCATATAATTTCCTTAAGAGAATTCTTCTTCACCTCTTCCTGCCTAGAATGTGGTTCTCAACCTTTTTAGGCTCAAGGCATCCCTTGGAAAATGCTAGATCTTCGTTTTCACTCCTTTTGACTATAGAAAAATACTAGAGCAATTCTTCTGTAGCAAGGAACTTAGAAGGACCACAGCAAGTCAGAATGTTTTTAACACTATGAATTCCTATTTGAAGTGGTCTGGGTTTATCTTTTGAATTATGTTTGCACACTGAACATTGTGTAGCACCCCATGGTACCTTTGAAAGGATCTTAAGGCACCGCAGGGTGCCAAGGCAACCTGGTTGATAATCACTGGCCTGGAAGAAAAAGGAAGCTTTTTATATAATACTTTGTCTGCATTTAAAGGGTGATCCCATTTTCTACTTCTTAGTCAAAGTGCAGTGAAAATGCCACTGTAATGAATCAGTGGGCCTTAGCACATTGCAAAATTGGAAAACATATCTGTTCTTACCTGAATACGTCCTTCTTTCAAATAAGGTCAACAGATCTGGAAACGAAGTAGAAGTGGCATTTGACATCCAAAGATGTTGGTTTCTTTCACTGGGGGAATTTCCCATGCTGTAGAATGAGAAAAATGTGCTTTTTCTTCAAATGTATTCCACCTGTGTAAATTAGGAAAGTAAGACTGAATTATCTTGATTGTAAGATATTTCAGATATAAGGATTTCAGGGCAATGAGGTTTGAAGTGGGCATTTCTTTTCTCCTAGCAACTAACTGGTCTGGTTCTAACCCCAAGCTGCAAGCTGGGTTAAGTACTCTTTTGAAATGGGTTTGTGGACGTGAGTACTCAACAAAAGGAAATTTTCAGGTAAACGTGTATGTTTCCTGTTTATGTTCATTCTACTGATATTTAAACCAAGTAAAGCAAAAAATGTGTGCTTTAGGCTAGGTGTATACATGAAATATGCATTAAGATATCAGTTGATTTATATTTTTTAAACTAAATTGTGGAGAGAGCAAGGAACTATATATTATTCCTCAGGTGTTTGATCATCTGGTAGGTAATCCAGACTACAACATTAAATTCTGTCACTAGCAATAAGGGTTATATAATGAAGCTTGTATAGATTATAAAAGATTAACATATATAGAGTAGAATCTGCATGTTTTAAATCAGACTACAGGACCGCTTGTACACGTGATTGTGGGTTTAGTCCCAGTGCGGGGGAAAAGCAGCCCCTACCGCTACCGGCACTCCCTTGTGCAGCCGCTCGGAGCCTGCACAGGGCTGCCCTATGTCTGCCCTGCGCTGCCCAATGGGGCAGGTCAGAAGCGGTGGTGATGCGGTGGAGATGCTGGGAGATGGAGGGGAAAGAGGGGCCGCTTTCTCCCCACGCTGAGCAACAGTTTGTCCCCTGCCACCTCTGTTCAGCCCACATGGGCAAGCACGGGGCACACGGGGTCAGGGCTGCATGTGCTGGTCCTAGTCTGTACCATGGGGTTGGGGTGGGGGGGGAACTGGGAGTGAGATTCCCAAAGTTGTTACAGCCTCTATGAACAGAAACGTTGTTTTTAGATCCTGAATTCTCCCAAGTTTGCTCTCCAGCTTAAAAAGGTGATGTTCTTGCAGCACTGGCAAGAATGGATCTCTTTGTATGTTTTCATTTTGCTTTACCCTTCAGGCAGAATTGTTACTCTTAGGTTCCTGATGTAAATGGAACAGTGTTGTATGGGAAAGTTGGACAGGGAGGCAAGAGGAGAAGCAAGGTTTAGTTTTCTGCTTTTTTTTAAACTTTGGTGTATTTAAATCCTAACCAATGTACTTCAGTGGCCATTTCTCAGAAACAAAAATGGCCTGCCCTAAAAGTAGATAGGAGCCTTTATTGCTAGTATAAACCTATTATAGAAATTACCAATACGTACCACCTCTCGGCTGCACAGCACATCAAATCTCATAGATCAAGCATAGTCATAGTTGGTCAGAGGCTCCAGGTACTATCAGTTCAACCTGTTGTACTTCTCTGGTATCACTACAGAGGAGTGGCTTCAGTGTAACATCAGGGGACAGTTCGCTGCTGATCTGCTTCCTTTCAGGTGGTCTGCGTAAAATCAGCTCCCCAACCACTTGTGATAATTAAAAGATCCTTTAGCATTTGGGGGAGGGAAGGGATACTCATTCCAGTGCACTAGACTACAGTCCAGTTTGGAAATGTTATAGTCTCTGAACCAAAACTCTTCTTGGAGTTTCTGTTGGATACACTATTCGTTTTTCTTCTTGTTCTGAGCTATTGTGACGTTTGGCTGTGTACGGTTTTAATGGCTGTTCCCTTCCAGCCTGGAGCTTGGGTGCACCCCAGTGATGGGTGAAGAGATTTCAGTGGATGTAGGTGTATACCTTACTGTGTATGCTGTCATAGTATTTTTGTAATGATGTGAATCAGAAAGGACATACCTCTATGTGTGGAACAAGTTTCTTTTTCCTCATGATATAAGGCATTCGGGCAGAATTTGTTGACTTAAATGTTTCTTTTCCATTGTTATATTGACTGTTGTAGTCGCCTTGCACTAAGGAAGTAGTACTACTAAATCCACACAGGTGATGCTGTACCATTAAAATTAATTTTCACGATAGGTTGTGTGTCCAGGTTTGTCATATATATCTTTATTCCCAATATCCCTAGTGGCTTGATATTTCAAAGTGCTAAAATCCTACTGAGTTAAGGACACTTAGTGTTTCACAAGAGAGGAATTCTGCAATTTCTAGGCTTTGGCCCTATATATTAAGCGAATCTTCAATCACTTGGTTCTAGCGGGGACTTTGCTCTAGAAAATATTCTTTGTGTAGAAATACAATTCTGCATCTGCGTGTTTTTGTGTCACTTTGTCCCTTGGTTGATTCCCTAGAATTCTCTGCTTCTTAGGGAATACAGTACAGCGCTCATCTTCAAATGTTGTGTTTCAGGATGCCTTACTTAAGTTTAGAAGACAACATTACTTTTTCATGACTTAAGCACTTTTTGCTGTCTGATTCCACCATGTTCACAGGTTGTATTTGGTTTAGTGCTCACTTCCTTCTCATATCTAGCACTTCTAATTTCAACTGTGAGTGGTGTTATTTCTTGATGAGATGACTCTCTGAAAAAGGGGTGATGGGGAACATTCACATTTTTTAGGATTTGTAAATCTTGACTGAAGGATAATCATGAAAATGTCCTTTGTAGCAGAAGTTTTTGGCCTTTGAATATGGATGCATGTGGTACTATTACACAATTAACCAGGAGGGGGGAAAAAAGAACAGTGCTACAAAATGAGTGCTAATACTAATTCGTTTCATGAGTTCCAACAATCAAGAACTACTTCTTTTTTCCCCAAGTCTTCCTTATAAAACAATCCTTTATTGTACATTTCGTTCCAGAAAGAATGCCATGGGTGCATTATTTTCATCACTGTATAGCTAGTAGTACTGTTAAAATGATTCTCTAGTTTGTGTTAATTTGTGTATTGAAATTGATTGGTAAAAATCTTGGGGTGGGGGGAAAACTGCAAATTTAAAAAGTAAAGTAAATAAGACAAGCACATTGAATCAAAATGAAAACGCTAAGTTGTTATATTTTTTGTTTTAAAAATAGACCTCTTCTTTTCCACTAATGAAAGTTATCAATATTTTTTGTTACTTTAGGCATCTGAAAGGGATGGTATTCTTGAGTCAAGAGAGTATAGTTCAGTCCAGGACTCTACATTGGTGACAAGGACATGGGACTCCTCCTGCCAGATTGCAGATGGTTCATTACAACTGAGATCTTGGTTGACTACTGTGAAAAGGAACTTTGGATTATTTTATTTTATTTTTGTAGAAGAACACACTCCCAAATCTGTAAAATACATCAGGTAACAAGGTCTATGTTTTGTATTTGACAGACTACTCTTAAGACCTTTTTCTGATGGTGTGCTTAAAATCCCTTTGTATGTATTCAGTGGTATAACTTTTAGTCTTATCTGTTTGTTTCTTTCATAAAATGAAACCTGAAGCACCAGTTGTTAGGAAATTGTGAATTAGCAAGATAATATCTCCAATAATTTGTTTGGTCATTGAGGGATTTCTACATCTTCCATGGTTACAGGGTACTATTTTTTCCACCACCCTAATTTCCACTGATGTTTCTCTTCCCTTTCTTCTCTCACTGGAGAGTATTTAATAATTTTGCAGTGACTAGCTTTATTACTATTGACATGTAACGTCATAACTGTAATTTTTTATCTGGAAATAGAATTAGGCAAAATGAATCTTCATTAAATTGATGAATTTTGTACACCAGTGGATTATGTTGGCTGTTGATCCATCATATATATATTTATTTATTTATTTATTTATTTATTTATATATAAAAAATAAAAAATATATATAAAATAAAGCATTACTATAAATAAACGTATAAATAAGGTCTTTCCCCCTTTCAATTACAAAAAATTAACTTTGCATATTGAAACTGGAGTCAGCTGCTGTATCTGAAATGTCCAATTTATTAGATATTGAGAGAGGATATAAAGGATCTGCAGGCATCTACTAGCAGAAACGTGTGAGAGAGAATCTTTTTTAATCGGTCTAAAATGTAGAGTCTTTTTGGTAATACATATTTCTGTACCTATATCTACTTTTTCTTTCTCTTCCTGAAGGCTTCATATTTCCTGTAGAATTTTAAAGTAAGCTTCTCTAATGAGGATGTCTGATACTGTTCCTGTAAAAGATGAAACTGATGGAATGAAGGGTTCAGAAGCAGAATTTGAAGACATAACCCCTGTTGAAAACCTTATAAAATCAGAAAGCCATGAGCAAACTCAAGGAGAAAAGGATGAAAGTTATTCTGACAACAGAAATGATTTGCCGGTAAGAGATTTTTCTTTAATTTTTTTTTTTACCAGTATACCATGTTAAATATGGACCTATTTCTTGCTCTGCAGTCCTATAATTCGTATTCAAAGGCCAAGGAAGCTTAACCTATTTTTACAAAACCAGAGGATGTGAGATGTTTTCTCCATTGTTTTACCAGATGCACATTTAATATATCGTCAGTTGTTTTTTAAGAAGTTGAAGTCGTATGGCCATTTTTCAGTGGAGTAACAATGTCAGCAGTATATCCTTTGAGTACATGTTTGAACTTTATGGAAAGCTGTGTTTTCCTGGGCATAATGCAAGAGCTCACTTTCTTTCATTGTTTTTTTTATTTCCCCGTTGTAGAATCCAGACTAACATTGTTAAATTCAGCAGTTTATAGTGAAACTGTTTGTTTTGTTTGGCTTTTTTTTTTTGTTAGGTTTTCTAAGGCTTTGTGATCGTCAGTTGTAGAAATGAGGGATGTGACTAGGTTCTGTCCTATTTTATTTAGTATCAGAAAACAACATGATTTTAAAATGTCCACATCGATTTTTTGCAGGGGTGACAGCTTGAGAGCCACAAATATCATGGGAAGCTTCTGTGTGTAGCATGGGTCAGATCAGGAAAGAGACAGGGAGCACAGCAGTAGATTGGGCAGGGAGCGGAAAGCAGAGCAGCAAACTAGGCAGGGAACACAGAGGAGGGAACAGAAAGCAGTGCATCAGCTTGAGCAGAGAAAGGAGATCCACGTGACACTTGAGCAAGGTGTGAAGCTAATTTACATGACAAAAAGGTGGCCTTCCTGTTGTACAGAATGGCTGTATAACAGGCGACTTTGGTTTAGAGCGCAATGCAGGACTGTGAATTGCTTGTCTGGTCCAGGGTCAGTATTGCACAGTCCAGCTACAAATTTGGCTTCTGTCTCCCCAGACGCCTGGCTCTGCCAGGCACGTACTTTTGTGACTGCCAGTGGGTGGCAGTTGCAGAGCAGGAAAGTACTTTCAGAGATGGCAGCAGCAATTTTTGAGTGAAAAGAAGAAATGAATTTGCAGACAAGCCTGTCAGATGAGACCAAAAAATGGATAGGGGCTTGTAATGTTGGCAATGGAACGAATGCCTCTCTAATACTGTAACGCAGCGGTTGCTTCTGCCTAACTGCTTTGCAGAGAGCAGATTCTTCACCAGATTCTTATTTGTGACCAAGGAGCTGTCCTCCAGCTGCATTTGATTGAGTGATTGTTATAGTTAGCAAGCTGATCCTTTGGCAAGGAGACTTCCAGGAAGCAGATATTGGAATAGTGGAGAGAGGCTGCTGGGCCGTATTGGTTTGCCTTAGTCAGTTTAGTAGCTACAGGTCTGTTTTATTAGTTGCTACTAATATTTAAGTAATACCAGAGACTGCTGTCAAGATCAAGATCTAGCTATGGTAGATTCTCAGCAGCATCTACCGTATGCATTCTAAAATGATGGGAAGGCGATAGATGGATGCATAGATAGGTATGCGCGCACGCACGCACGCACACACACACACACAGAGTCTTCTTACTGTAACTCAAGTGCAGTTGAGGAATAAAACTAGACGAACTAGTAAGAGAAATGCTCCAAGAGTGTCATAGAATGTCTTATAATCAAAAGATTGTTGGAAAAAAGCTCATTTTTGGTTTTCTGATTTTCTAAATGGAGGTTTAATGAGCTTTCTGTAGCTATAATACTCCTAAGAGACAGTCTCCTAACTCTTCATTGTACACATTTAAGCCACAGCTTGGCAAATTAAAATTGCTTTGCTCAGCATTCCAGTACGAGGCACTGCAGACCGGGTGGGTTTCATTTCCGAAGTGGAGGTGGAGTCTAACTTGGTTGCTTTGTCCCATTACTGCTGTGCTGGACAGCACAGACCCCAGTCCTTCTGAAGAGTATTTTGCAGTGGAGAGTCAGTCTTCCCCCAGTATTACCAAAAGCCTTTCTCCCTAAGTCCTGTCTCAGCTGCCCAGTGTGAATGTTCAGACCAGCTGGTGTGCTGCACATCAGTTAAAACAGGGTAATTAGCTACAATATTATTGAAAGACTATAATTGTTTAAGCTGTGTAGTGTATTCACTGTCCTCACTTTTCTCTTCTACCTTCCAGTGTAATTACCAGGTAACAGTCAATTTAACCACTTGGGTCCTGTTCTTGCTACACTTCCGCAATGGCCCATGATCATTCAACTGTCCAGAACTATCCACGTTGGGCTTTGTGCGCTGCAGGGATTTTGTTCCGTTAGCTTTGCCTGTCCCCATTTCTGGAGTCCAGGGGAGACATTTTGAAACCTAAATTATCATGACACCGGAGGACCAAATACCAGATAATTTTTAGTTGCTGTATATTTATAATTGATTTGCACCTGTACACATTGCTGTAGGTAGGATTTGAATAAGAAAATGACTCATCAGTCTCCTCAAGAGCACATGAATAGTATTGCCAGGCTCCTCAAGTAGGGTATGAATAATGTAATCAAATGTAGTGAAAATGATCAGAGAAGATGGCTGATTCTGTGACTGTCATTTATTTTATTATCTCTTCACACACTTCCCCTCTTATTGCCCCTGCAGCTCTCCCAGAGTTTTCAGGCTGCTTGCTTCCTTCGTATTCTTATTTGACCTTTTGTGCCTGGCATCCTACTGGCTTCTCTGTTCTGTGTCCTGGTGCATCAGGGATTCCCGAGCCATTCTCATCTGCTCTTAAAACCCTCCTTTAATTTTCCAGTAAAGTAACATTATTGTATTTATTTGTTGTAAATCAAATTAAGAGTAATTTACTTCATGGTTTGGTTAATGCTGTTTTCTGCCTCATCTATTTAGATAATGGCAGGGACCATCCTGTTCTGCATAATACAGATCAAATTGTCTGTTCCAGATATTATGTTTTATGTATGCTGCATAAGAAATCCACTCACTGTTTTAAAGAAGTTACATGGTATGGCCTTGAATTTGTGATTTAGGAAGGCAGTTGCTTTCTGAATTGCCCATCTCTTCTGTAGTGACTATTAAGTTGTGTTTCAGCAAATTTGGAAATGAGAGGCACTCCTGTGAGGAACGTGGTTATAGAACACTATCGTGATATTCTGACTTGTGACCGAACAATTTAAGTGAACTAGTAGCACACAAGATTACACAGTAAAAGTATTCTCTGTGCCAAATTTTTCCTGTAATTACTCTTCTAGTAATTCTGTCAAAGCATGCTAGGAACAAACTGTGAGCAGTAGGAAAAATTGATTATTCATTTCTCCTTCATATTGTAGCAAACCTCCAATCTACAGTCATAATATTATTTAGTAATTATGCATTTATTAATGGTGAAAAATGTTCTGTATGGATTAACAGAGAGATGGATACAGTCTCAGTCCTAAGGAACACGTGTGATAACCAGTTCTTTGCCTGATACTGCCTGTGCTAGTATCCCATCTTTCAGACTGTATGGCGTTATTAGGTATGTTTTGAAAAGCTGTTTCTATGATTTTTCATATTGGCAAATAGATTTTTTTAATACATTAGTTATTATTAAAAGAGGGACCTGCCTATTTTGTATTTAAGGAGTCTCACATAGTGCACAGTTTGTCACATTAAATATATTGCTATCTTTATATTAAAAATAATTACTAATTTGTGGATGTGCTTTCTTGTTACTATCCAGTTACTGAAACAGGGCTGAAAACTCATTGTCTGACAAGCAGAGAGAAATGTAGAGGAAAGACTGTTGCTGGAAATTGGGGAAAGAGTACAGGGTCATTAGGCAGTTGGAGTAGTAACAAGCAGTGCAACAAGTGATAGAGGTAACCCGCACAGGTAGGGATCCATGACACTACATAATAAAACAAGACAGATGATATAATACACATGTGCATAATGTGTGCACATCCACTTAATATGCACATCCACAAGTATATAACATAGACGAGATAATTATAGGTCCATTTGGGGTTTATAACAATGATGCAACTCCCACGATCCTTTGACAGTTAGATGACCTCTTTTTTAACGAATGGCGCATTCTCTGTCCTCCCTTCTCTCAAGTATAACTGCTATACCTTGCATTGTTATGCGTCAGTCAGATGCCCTTGACATCAACTGCTCTCATCTCCTACTGCTCATTTTTTGTTAAGATTCCTGTTTGTTTGGGTTTTTAATTCATCTACAGAATATTTTTTTTTATGAAGGCTGACATCAAGGCTCCCATTTCATGCTGTTTAATGCCTATCAATGTGTTTTTAGTATAAATATTCTGAAATCACAGCCATTTTCTCTGATTAACTGAATTGGACAAAAAGACCAGTGCATGCATTCTTAACACTTTTTTGTTCTATGTGCCAAATTAAGAGCCCACTTTTTTTGGCTAGTGCTGTACAGCATTGTGCACTGTTACTTTGTATGTTCTATTTTGTCCACCGTCTTTGTCCAACCTGACTTAATGACATGGCAATGACTGCTATAGAAGTGTTTGTACATTACATTCACATGATATTTTTGCGTGCAGGCGTGACCCTTACATTCCTGACTGTCTTAGTCTTGGTGTCTTATAGTTAGGCTAGAATTCACATTTATGCGTAGTCATGTATAACAGTCCCATCTATTACTATTTGCTCTTATCCCTTGATTCATGTGCTTGTTAACATGGCATCTGAGTTATCTACCTTCCCTATCCCCATTCTTAAAAGTTAGTCTGTCTTAGAATTACTCTGTTCATTTTTATTGCCTTTCTAGCAATCTAGGGTATTTAGTTAAATTCTGTGTGAGCAGAGAGAAGCAGACTAGATGAGCAGCTGTTCAGTAACTCATAGTTATATTTTGTATTTGGATTCCAAAGCCTTGCTCCTGAAGCATAATGGAAAGCATAATAAGTATGCACCTGAAACATAATGGAAATGTTAGCTCCCATGCAGAGTGTACTTTCGTGGTACTGCTACTATGAAAGAGAAGGAAAGCATGCTTTACTTAAAACTATGCCAAAAAGGAGCTTGAACAAGATACTCAAGAA